AGTACCTCAGGGCCTCGTCCCGTGCGTGACGCTTGTCCACCTCGGGGAAGGTGGCGTTGATAAACCTCCTAGCCCTCGTCATGTTCTTCGCCTCGAACAGCCTGCTCTGAAAGGACAACGGGGGAACAAGGCCCTTTCCCTTGCCAGGAGCTCGTACCTCAGCCCCCTCCTCAGATTCCCTAAGCTCAGGGTCAAGCTCAACAAGAGGAAGCCTAGGTACGAACTGGGGAACCTCGCTCCCCCTCCCCTCCTCCTCCTCCTCCACCTTCTTCTTCTTTTGAAGTGCCCCTCTTTCCTCCCTACTTTTCCTCTTCAACTCCAACTATGGCTCCTCCTCCTCATCCACCTCGATTGGAATACTGGGCACTACCTCATTTCCAACTCCTCCCTCATCCACTCACTTGGTTGAAGTCTTTGACTTCTTCCTTGGCTTCTTGGGGATGGCCACTCCTCCAACAACGTTAAAAAATTTGTCCTTTTAGTTGCAAGACAAGAAAACACAGTATTAATCATACAGCTCTATACTCTACATTAGATACTACAATGCAAATTAACAAACCTTCACTTAAAGCGCTTGGCCCATAGAGCTCAACAGCTCCTATGCATTCTACGCTGGTGAGGTCCATGATGTTCAATACATCCTCCCCCTTCCTCACCAACTTCCCCACTTCTTCCTCCTCATCCTCATTTAAGCTAAACTTATTATGGTTGGCTCGTTTAGCCTTCCAGGATGACAACTCCTTCACCTCGGTATCCCCCCTCTCCCACTCCGTATCATCTACAAAAAAAGAACTTTTCCTTCCATCCTTTAATGGATGAAGGACCCGCAATAAATAACGCTCTACTCTCACTATTTGCTACCCTATGGGTGAAATAATACCACCCCTTATCTTTCCTACTACCCCCCTTTAAAACAAAAAAATACTTAAACATATTCACGATTGGCACACTAATCCCCTGAGTTCGGCAATAAATTAAAAATCCTATTATTACCCTTATAGCGTTGAGGACTAACTATGTCAACCCTATATCATAATCTAACAACAAACCTACTAACAACTTAGGAATTGGAAACCTAAGCCCGGCTACCAAATAATGGGCATACATGGGCATCCAATGATCCCGAGGAGCAGAACACGTCCTTTCCTCTACCCCAGCTGGCCTAACTAACACTTGGGAAAAGATCTCGTAATTCTCCACTAAGTGACCCAAGCTATCCCTGGTCCCGAGTTCAAATCTGTATTGCTTCACCTCTTCCACTATCTCTGCATCTACATCATAACCTCTCTCTCTCCTACCCTCTACTTCTACCACAGTGATGGGTACATTATCCCCCCCAACCCCCACCACCTCATCTCCTCTCACCCCCTCCACCGTTTTCTCTGAACTAGATGGACTGCTCTCTGAGTCCATCCCACCATATGCCAGAGGCATTACCTCACTTCCTACCACACTCACTATTTCTTCCAAAGACATTTTCTTAATTTCTACACGAAGTAGGGGGAGGAATGAAGTCAGGACCCCTTAAAAAAAAAAAAAAAAAAAAAAAAAAAACCCTCTAATGCACACTCAAAATCATTCTCACTTCTAACCCTAACTTCCTTCAGAGGACTCAAAATCAACCACAGAAAGCGAGAAAGGAGACTAACACTTCGACTAAACCAAAATCAGAGATTCGTATACATTACCTGATTTCGATTTCGAAAGCTTGATGTAGAAGTCTCCAAATGATGCAGCAGTTCACGCGCAAGAAGCACACAATAAAGTTTTTTGCAGAAATTTTGCAGAAAATGAAATGCAAGTAAACTTCTTTCTGCAAAAAAATGACTATTTATACCTCCGGGCAAAATTAAATCTCTACGGTTGAGATTCGTTTAATCTTATGGTCCTTATTTACGCCGTTTCGAATTCAATTGTATAACCCTAACGGGAGCCATTTGAATTCGACGGTTCGTTTCCTAATTCCGTTTGTCGGACTGTCACAGTTACTTTTGCAGCCCGTATTAATTGTACACGTCTTTTGACAGACAGCTGTCATGACACATAATAACCTTACATCAGACTTTATAAACGGGCCCACTTAAGCCTAACTCAACACTTCTGTTTACTTTCACAATTATATTTTTTAACTTACAAGTGTTTCACTTCGGCTACGACCACAGTGACTTAGTGTCACATATTTCACTTCAGCTCCGACCACAATGACCAAGTGCTATACGTTTCATTTCGGCTCCGACCACAGTAATCCTGCATCACACATTTCACATCGGCCTCGGCCACAGTGCCTACTGTCACACATTTCACTTCGGCTACCACCACAGTGACCCAATGTCACATGCTTTGCTTTGGCTCTGGCCACCATGACTCCGGTCATTATATTTTATTACGGCTCCAGCCACCATGACTCCAGTTATCATCTCTTACTATGGCTACGGCCGCATTGACTCCGATCACTGTTTTTACCACGGCTATAGCCACGATCGCTCCAATCACATTCTATTTTGGGCATGCCCAACATGACCCCCTGTCACATACTTCATTATTAGCTACGGCTATGTATGCATTTGAGTTACAGATTTTACTTTTTACTTTTACTTTTGTAACTTATCCTTATGACTTTTATTTATGCACTCCTCCCATTATCCCCAACAACATCATTCACAAGTGAATGACTTCGGGGGGGAATAGTGTAAGGATAGGTCCGAGGTGCTCAGCCTCGGACTACTACGGTCTGAAGTGAAGGGTAAATCCAAAGCTTCCCGCCCAAACAGCTGCATGACAACGACAATAAGCATACCCGCACCTCATTCTTTATGAGGACTTGCACAGCAGTTATGATGGGCATCCTTGCCTCTGAATATCTCTCAAATTCCTAGTCCCAAAATAATCGCCTGGATAGACACATCAGGTTCCGATTATCTTGCTTGGCATGCCACATGGGTTCCTCACTAGAGCCTATAAAGACCCCTCAGGGGCCACGTCAAAAAGGTAATTGAAACCAACCCTAAGCTCTTTTTATTTTCGCTCTAAATGTAGCCCTAATTATTGCTGACTTAAGCATCGGAGTGTCTACCCCGAGTTCCACCTCGGAGCTTTACAGGTCAATCCGGAGTGCAGACGCAGACTGAAGAAGGACTTCTGGTTTGGTGCAATTACAATAATAAAACACTTTGACAAAAATGTAATAAATTTATAAACATATCAAAATTTTATATAGTAAATGACAAAATAAAATTAGAGAATAGTGCTTATTAGTCCTATTTTCCAAAAAAAAAAAAAATAGAGTTCCAACCTTAAATAATGTCATTTTATTTAATTAAAATCCAATTCACCATTCTAAAATCTATTTTATTAAATGTTGATGCTGCATTTAGAAACTAATAAGCACAATTTAATAAGGTGGATTTTAAACTTTTTATATTTAAAATGTAATCAATAATTTAATAAGATAGATTTTAAAATTTTGAATTGCGATATTAGTTTCTAAATTCATGTATTGGAATTAAATAAGATGAATTTTTAAATTTTAAATTGGGTTTTAATTAAATGAAATGACTTTGTTTTAAGTTTAGATTCTAATTTTTTTGGGATTGAAATTGATATGCACTATCTTTATAAAAGAAATAGATTTGACTCAATAAAAGAGTATGAGTTACATAGATTTTAATATTTGAAATAAAAAAAATAGATATTAATAACTATAATGAATATTTTAGACTAGGCACTATAAATGTGGTAATTTAAGGTTTTTTCAAGAAAGGAAAGCGAAATATTAAACGTTTATAAGGTTTTTTTACCAATTTTTTAGCCAAAATATTAGAAATTAAAGGGCAGTTTCTATATTTAATAGATTAACTTTAAAGAATTACTCATTATTATATCAATATTCTATTTTGAATTTAATGACAAGATTTACAAAAAGAGTAACGATAATTATTTTCATGAATATTAAATATAATTAAGTGAATAAAATTAAATTTAAAAATTAAACTCCTAAAATCGAAATTGGAGGATTAATTTAAAAATTTTTTAAAAGATAGCTCCTTAATCTCAACGTGGCTCTGCCACTAGTGCCAGCTATGGTAGAAATTTGCTCCCATATGTAGCTTGAATATGAACAAGAGAAAAACAGATGATCTCTAGTTTCAGGCACTAGTCTTGCAAAGAAGATAAGAATCATCAGCAGAAGCAGACTTCTTCTTTTGTCTGGCCCGTGTAGAAAGCCTATTCAGCACGCCCAACCAAGATATAAAGCTGTGCTTAGGAATTGAATTAGAAGACCAGATAATCTTGTGCTAAAGTACCTTAATTTGGTTGCTTGAGTTTGATATAACTCCATGTATAGCCAATATGAAATATGCTAGTAGGAAAAGGAGTCCAATTTACTAAGTCCATCAAGTGTCATGGACCTCTATCTAAATTTGACGTAATTCAGGTGACCTAGCTGGTGGCCAATTCCAAAATTTGCCTAACACTATACTAGATAATTTTGCCTGAAGAGCGATGACGACATCATGCACTATTCTATCCCCGTAAGTTTCAATTAGAGGTCCTTTACTCCTCTGGGCTGCCATGAGACAAACCACAAAAAGATATTTTCACCTATCGCAACTTGATGTTGAATTAGTTGTTGGGCTATTGTTTTAAGTTTCAAGACTTTTCTTTAACTCCATGAAGCATCACTAGGAATTCTCATTGACTAGAAGCTCTTGCCTTATAATGGACAGGGATGCACCCAAGCAACCCAAATTGAGCCAGATTTAGAAAATAAAATCCAAATAAGCCTTAATTAACATGCAGGCTGTGTTTCAATGCAACATAAGCTTGATACCCAAACGTCCCTCAATCTTAGGCCAACAAACGTCCGACCATTTGAGCTTTGCCCGTCTAGCATCCTAAGCTGTTCCTTTCCATAAAAAATCACAACTAATACTTTCAATTACCTTAATCACTTGTTTAGGCAAAATGAACACTGAGCACCAAAAGGTGATTATCCCTCGAAAAATTGATATTATAAGCTAGGGCCGACTTACAAAATAAAGGTAGTTTGAAGACCAAGATTTGATTCTGTGAGTAATCTTTACTATTAAAGGATTTAAAACAACATCATTTCATTCTTCCTGTGATTAATATGGAACCTCTAGGTATCTTACAAGTAGGGAACCTACCTTAAAGCCATAAGAGCTAGTCAACCTCTATATTAAATTAGATGGCATCCGGTAACAAAAGAGTAAAATCATCGTAGAAGGCTATTAATCCTTTTTTTATGGCAGATTATAAATCATCAGTGAAAATAAGTAGGTTATCTGCAAAACATAAATCAAAAAAGTCCAGTTTGCTGTATCAAATGCTTTCATGAAGTCCACTTTCAAAACATATCTAGACTTCAAAATTTCCTTATGGTAGTGCTTAACCACTTCCAGTGCCAGCAAAACATTTTTAACCATGAACCTTCCTTCAATAAAAGCATACTGGTTCGGATTAATGAATAAGGGAAGGCACTTCTTGAATCCGTTGGTAATGATCTTGGATATGCTTTGGTACAAGAGGTTGCAGCATGATATTGGCTGGAATTCTGTCATTTTGCTTACGCATGTTACTTTAGGCACAAGAGAAATAATGGTGGCTTTCATTTGCTTCAGCTATTTTCAAATGATGAAGAATTCTTGAACTGTCTTTAATACTAAAGAACCTATTATAGGCCAAGCTACCTTGTAGAACTCAGTTGTGAACCCATCAGTACCAGGGCTCTTATTATTTAGGCTATGAGAAAATGCTGCTTTACAATATTCTTCTGCTGAGATGGATCTAGTAAGAGTTTCTTGAACTTGGTCAGGGGACTGAAAGCTTAGCAAATCTCTTAGGCAAAAAACAGCGCCCCCATTACAATTAGATCTCCAGCACTTATAGAGATTGATAGAATTAAGAGCTTTGCAGACATACTGGATAATCCAAAATTAAAACACCGAGCTCTATCATCTTTCATGTCATGTTGACCTTAGAAATCACAGCAACAACTGAAAACTAGTTGCCCTTGTTGCAATTTTCCTTTTGTTAAGGTATAACAATATTGAGATGTCCCTTTTTCTAAAGTGGAAACAAGCACCTTTCTTTACTTGTAATTATAAAGATCTGGCAACAATGTGTTGGGTTTTTAAGACGGCACAGCATAAACAAAATTAAAAATTTCCTCTTTCAATCCACCTAAGATCTGTATGTGTCCATTAACGGTTAAAAAAAGTTACGGATCAATACCTTGAAGAAGCTTACCTCTTTGATGTGTAACTTTAATCCACAACTTTTGTATAAAGCCTGGAGTCCTAAGGTATAACTTCTCTAACAGTAATCCACATGTACACCTTATAGATTAAGAGAAGATCAAAATCTCTCAAGTACCGCTAGCTAAAGAGAATTTTGATTCTCTCTTCTTTTCTTGGAAATGGTTTTACAAAATAAATCAAGAAGAATAATTTCATTAATTCTTCTTGCTTTGTATGGCAACGGCAGCTCCCACTCAAAATAATATTTACTCTCTTCTCCTTTTCGTAGCTAGGTCTGCAATGAAGTGATAGAAGAGAATTATGTTTTCTACTTCTTTTTATACTAATAGGAAAATAGGAAGACTAGTAATTATAATCCAATTAGAATTACATTAAATCAAATTTACCCTCCAAGTCAAAATAGGAGACAAGGAAGGAACTTCCTTAGCTTTGTATTGCTGCACCTCCTAGTCCACGTTGGACTCAGAGTGCAACAACCACTCTTAGCCATCCTTTTATGCCGCAGAAGCCCTTATTCTC